TCCCTGTCAGTATAGAGTTACCAGTCTCTCTTCCTTTGCAGGTGTATGCTCGTTGTCCTCGCTCTCATCACCCTGCTGATATCCCCTCTACCTCAGGCGATGCAGGTAATACTTCTCAGTTTGTTGAGCATATTGATGCACCTGTTGTTAGTACTGATGAGATTACAGGTGTTGAGCCAGTTACTTTACCTGATAAGATATTATCAGTAGAGGATGGTGATTTAGGGCGTCGTTATCCAAGGCGTGATCGCCGTCCAGTTGATCGATATGGTTGGACCGCCAAGATTTTATATCCGATCTCTGCTTATGTTTCTTATGGTAATCTGTCTCCCACATTTCGAGCTTATACTATGGCCTTATCAGATACGCTGGTTCCTCGCTCTATTTCGGAAGCTATGCGGGAACCCCAGTGGATTCTTGCCATGCAGACAGAGATGGACGCTCTTCAGCGTAATCATACATGAGATCTTGTCTCCTTACCTTCAGGGGTGAAGCCTGTTGGCTGTCGCTGGATTTACACCCTGAAGTTTCTTGCGAATGGTACTATTGATCGTTACAAGGCTAGACTTGTGGCGAAGGGCTTTACTCAGGTACCAGGTCGTGATTTTGATGCTACATTTGCCCCTGTGGCAAAATTGACTACTGTTCGATTAATTATTTCTCTGGCTGCGGAGTACTCTTGGCCTCTTCATCAATTAGATGTGAAGAATGCGTTTCTTCACGGTGATCTGGACGAGATTATTTATATGGATGCACCACCGGACTTTCGTGGTGAGGGGGAGTATGCTGAAAAGGTATGTCGACTGCGTAAGTCTCTTTATGGACTGAAACAGTCGCCACGAGCCTGGTTCTCTCGCTTCAGTGATGTAGTCATACGATTGGGGTTCACCAGGTGTCATTCTGATCATACCTGCTTTATTCGACGGAATACTTCTGGACAGTGTGTCATCCTTCTGGTATATGTTGATGATATTATTATTACTGGTGATGATGTTTTTGGGACTGCGCAGGTCAAGATAGACCTTGGGAAGGCCTTCGATGTGAAGGATCTTGGATTTCTGCGATACTTTCTTGGGATTGAGGTTGCCCGTAGAAGCAGAGGTATTGTTCTTTCTCAGAGAAAGTATGTTTTGAATCTTCTTTCAGATACTGGGATGTTGGGGTGCAAACCGACATTATCACCTATGATTCCAAACCTGAAGCTTACTGCTGAAGGTGAGGAGTTGAAAGATCCGACAGTTTATCAAAGATTGGTAGGTAGACTTATCTACTTAGCCAATACTAGGCCGGACATTTCATTCGTAGTCAGCCGAGTTAGTCAGTTCATGCATAGGCCATGTCAGCCTCATCTTGATGCAGTTTATCATATTCTTCGGTACCTCAAGTCTTGTCTTGGACTTGGGTTGTTTTATGCATCAGGATCTCAGACCGGTTCTCTAGCCTGTTATTCAGATTCAGATTATGGGGGAGCATGTGATGGTCGATCTACTACGGGTTTCTGTGCTTTTCGAGGGACTCATCTTATCTCTTGGAAGAGCAAGAAGCAGGCAGTTGTCTCCCGCTCGTCCGCAGAGGCAGAGTATCGGGCATTGGCACTTGACACATGTGAGATTATCTGGCTACGATCGATTCTTGACGAGTTGGGTTTTTCAGTGACCTCTCCATCCACATTATATTGTGATAATCAATCTGCTATTCAGTTCGCTTCTGACTCTGTACTACATGAGAGAACGAAGCATATAGAGATCGATGTTCACTTTTTTCGGGAGAAGGTCAGCAGTGGTCTTGTTACTCCATCGTTTGTGGGGACCAGTGATCAAGTTGCGGATGTTTTTACAAAACCTGTCACTCTGTCTATTCTTCGGGACTCCGTTGTCAAGCTTGACTTAGTTGACATTTTTGCGCCTAGCTTGAGGGGTAGTGTTGGAGTATAGATAGTTTAGGTTTATTAGGATTTCTTTTTCCTTTTTTACCCTTACTATGATTTTTATATTTTGCCTAAACTACAAGGATGTTTAAGTCACTCTGTATTATTTTTGGATATATATACGGGGTTCTACTCTTAATTTGAGTATCCCTTTTCATTCACAACTATCTCAAGTATATGTAATGTTTGTGCATGTCACAACGATTGTATTCTCTACGCGTCCCTCGCCGTAGAGTCTCCGTCTATGGAACCGAGTAGGTAAGGGTGTCAAAATATTATAACATACGAAAAACACACAAAATTAAAGCATTTGGGTTTTCATTAACACACTTAGTTTGGTAAATTAGTAGACCCAACGTGATACAACTGAAAAATAAATAGGGTTTTAGTAAAGCCAATAAAAAAAATATATGATAAGACTCATTTATATGCCGATTATATATGACTTAAACCCGATATGATACAATTTGACACGATTCAATAAACGAATTAAGTATAGGTGAAATATTTTTTGACACAAACCTATTCAGACTCGATCTAACCTTGTCTCACATGATATGATTGATAGGTCTATTAATGATACCAAAATTTATACCGAAAAATGAGTAGAAGGATATCTCTGTATCTCATCTGCAGCAAGGTTCAATAACAATGTCTGACCTCCGACCTCCAGTTACACATCAAACCTTAGACAAAAGTATCAAGTCATTCACGTACGACCTCAGTCAAGAGTGACTAGGTCATCCATATCATCTCATGAGAAAATTTAATATTTTCAGCTCAGGTCAAGTGTATAACTCGAGTTACTTTATTCGCGAGCTATCTAAAAGAACAAGAGGTTATACCAAGTAGTAGGACCTCTCACATATATGTAAGATACAATGAATGCAAACTCGCAGATAGGTCACGATGTTATCTCAACATGTTCTAAAAGGCCATGTTGGCATGTTTTAGAAGACCGCCTCACACCATGGAATATAGTTTCTAACGGTTAAATATTCCCCTAACAAACTCGAAACAAACTTGAGAATCATTTGATGTTGACATGAGAACTACCCCACTTATGAGTATAAATACAAGAGGCAGTCCTTCATACAATACAAATTGTAATCACAATAGCTATAATTTTTATCTTCTTTCCCAAGTTATAGAAAATATTTAAAAAAAGTAAAAGACTTTATTAGAGCGGACTAGTCAAATTTTTCGGTTGGTGAACCACTTCATTTCGTATATTTTTCTTTATTTTCTAACTCGTATCTCTATCTTACATTTCCCATAGTATATTACAAACGCTCCATACTCTGTTATTTGTTGTTCACTCACTCGCTGTTCTTACCATAATCATTATTCCATCGCTTTAAGCTCCTTAACTTAAGTACCTAACCCACAACTTTGGCTTACAACACCATCGCCTACAATTAGATGAGACAAAATTGATCACTAGATGACGCACAAGAATTAAAGGTAATTTTTATATTAATTCATATTATATGCATTTTATTTTAATTTGTAAAAAATTCCGCGTAAACCATAAAAAATTATTTAATGGTAATTTAGACATTAAATATATATTAAACATAATATATGTGTTATTTTATATTCACGTGTATTTGTGTGCAACTGTTCAATAGTACAATCTATATAAATTGTAAATATACATAAATTATTATGGCTAAGTACACCATTTTTAGCAAACAAATTCACATATTTATTTATCACCCTTGTCTCTTACTTGATATTTACTTCTCCAAATCTCTCAAATAGCCCATTAAAGGTGGCTTGATACGCTTTGAAGTTCATAACAGCGACTCTAAATGTAAAAAATCATCTCTTTTCAAGATGATAAATATAATTCAAGTTTTACACTCAAGTTTTATATGCATATATTTTCAATTGATCACGTGACTAATAAATCTAGTCTTTCTAATTTTTTGAGATCTATTATTGTTCATTTAAATTTAACTTAAACTTTTTGTTATGTTGTGTTTGTTACTAGTGACAGATATATTTAATATTATTTTATTTTAAATTTTAGCAGTTTAAAAAATTTTCCTATACAAATGTTTGTTTTCTAATTATTATATTTTACAAATAAACTAAACATTTCTATAATAACAAAATATTACTATCTCGGAGTTAAACAAATTTAAAAATTATAAAATGATAAAACTAAATTTATTGTCGCGACCTATGAAATTAAGATATGATACAATGATTCTCCCCTAACATAGTCTATAAGGACAAAAATAGAGATAATCAATAGATTAATGTTTTATATCTTATTTAGAAAAGTATTGCACTCTTAATATATATATATATAAAATTAGAAATAAAAGGGAGAAGGGATAAAAATAAATAGTTTGATTTGTGTGTTAATTTTAGATAAGAACAAATATATAATTACAGGGAGAACGTGTGTGTATGTGCGAGAGATAGAATGACTAGTGATGTCTAACGTAGAATATTTTTTACATTTTTTTAACCTTATTATTTTTTTTTGCCAAATTAAATTTTGTTTTTGAACTGTATTTTTGGGCCAAATTATTTATCTAAGATATTTTTGTTAGTTGAAATTTTATTTGAGTTTTTTTTTTGTTTGATTCAATTTTGATAAATTTTTTGATCAAAAAAAAATTGATAAATTTAAATCTTTGGTGTGTACTATTTTATAGAACTATAAATTTGCGATATTTTTTTGAATTGAGGCCTAATGGCCGATCTTGATTGAAAAGATGAAAGGAGGGAGAAAATAGAAAGAAAGTTAATAAAATGTCAATTTGAAAATCCTACAAAATAATGATAATTAATGGATTTAAGTGGAGTACATTTTTTTTTTTTGGATAAACACACACACATATATAAAATATAAAACATAAAAATGGTACCCAACGGTTTGAGGGTTTTGGGTTTTGGGGACCGTTGATTGCCCCTCCTCTTCTCCCCCGCCGTGCTAAAATTCCACCGCCACCGCACCACCGTTTCTTGACATTGGATACCACCAATCGATAATTTTGAATTTGTTGGTTTGTGGAAGGAAAGACAAAGCCAAAACAAGAAAGAGAAGAAGAGAAAGATGTGGTATCTGTGCGTGTTCTACCATAGATTGTTGGATTACAGAAAACCCGAAGTCGAATCTCTCGCTGAGCTCTTTGGTGCCTTCAAAGACACAGATAACACTGACCCACCAAAGAATTCATTGGAGTGGAAGCTCCCTCAACACCACCACCCTGATTCTCCTTTTCATTTCGTTAATCTGCCCTCTGAAGAAATAGCCCGCAATGTCGCCAGTCGTAGTAAGTCCTATTTTCCGCTTCTTTCTTTCATCTTCCTATTCATGGTATGCACTATTGTTTGGTTGCTAAGAGATTGCAAGTCATTTTTAGAGAATCTGTGGTTCTTGTGTTATAACTGTATGATAATACTTCTGCCTTAACTATAGAAGCAGCCAACTGAGTTCTGAACGAATTAGCTCCTTGGTAATGGCTCTATCTATAAATAGAAATCCCTCTGATGGGAAACTACCACGTTAGATTTGGAGAGAGATGGGACCGGTTATATAATAGAGGGAGCAGATGCAAGCTTTTTCTTTTAATAGCCGGCTAAAGTAAAAACAAACCCAAATTCAGATTGCCTTTGTCGCTTTCTGTTTGGATGAGTATTCGGGCATTATTGGATTTTATGTGGGTTGGGTTTGTTTGGTTTATGTTCAGTCAGAATTAGCAGATGTCCGAGTTATGGGAGCTCTGGCATGGAGCTTTCTTCTGCGTTCCTTTGTGTTTTTCCTGTATCATAAAAAGTTCTTGAGTCTTTTCACCGACTGTAAAACCTTTTGTGCAGCGCAAGAAATTTAAGGTGGTATCCTAGCTTTAAAGTAGTATTTTTTTCCTTGTAAGACATGTAATTTTGTTTGAAATATATATCTCATATCCATACTAAGTTTACTAACCATTGTACCAGAACTGGTATGTAGCTCACTGTGTCCTCTCCTCATTAACATTCATTTAATGTGCTTAGTGTTCTAAAGAATCGAGCACAAGGTATTTAATCCCCATGAGGTATTTAATCCCACGAAAGACAGTTAAAATTGCTTTCTTCAATTTCCATGACAAGAATGTCATATACAGATATACTATAGCTTTTTCCATGGTTAGACTGTCGTCCAATTTTGTCCGTTACATCTGCATTATGTAGAGCGGCATAATAATTCAGCAACACATCTTGTATACCAAATTATACAATGAAGGCGTTTCACTAACTCACAGGTAATGTAAATCCTTTTTCATTTGTCTCTTCTTTTCCTTTTCGAGGGGAGACCAGGTGAAACGATTTGTTTGAGTTCTCCTCCAGAACTAGTTTAATCCCTTTTTAAATGAAAAAAAAAGCAGTCAATGAAGTGGATCGGTCTGTTTGGTAATCCTCGAAACCAGTCTGCTGGGTACTAGACTGAGTGGTTTTAAGTTGGCCAGTTTTTGGTGAAGTCTTATATTTTTTGGGGATCGATTCAAGTTCTCACACCTGTGTTATTAGGCTGACCTATTTGCTCTTTGATCAGGTGTCACTAGGCTAACTTAATGTTGGGTTTCTTCCCAACGACCCATATATTTCCAAAATAGCTGTGAACCTCTTACTACAGAAATACTCCAGTGAAAATTTTCTCTATAATTTTTGCTAATGCTGCGCTATATCTCGTTTTGCTTCCATTGATCTCTTTAGGCTGAAGCTCCATCATCATTTCCTGAGTCCTTAAATGTAACTTTCCAAATGCCATATTGGCAATAGATTAATCTTTTATACACTATCAAAATGGAAAAAAATAACCTTGCTTGACTTTTAATTTGTAGGTATTCTTGTGAAGGGGATTTATGAACTATGGGGAGAAGGAAGTAGTTATGAGGAACTGGAATTGGCTATAAAGTGTTGTCCGGATGAGCATAAGTTGCCATACTTAACTCCTGGAAGCACATTCAAGATTATAGTTGACTGCTTTGGGAAGGTTATCAGCTCTAAGGAGCAAAATGATCGAATTCAGGGACTTGCGTACATACCTTTCAAGGTTCAGTGCTCTTTTAGTTTATGCTTAATTTGGACTGGTATGAGAACTTTTGTGATATATTGATTTTTCCACCCATGCTTGTGATTATGCACCTGCATTAGCTTGGATGTATATTTGATATATGCTATTACTAGAAATCCAGTAGCTGAAATTAACCTTCTTGTGAGGCTTGTAGCTATGTTTTGTCTTGCTGGTCAAGATGGTTGATTACTTGAACTTTTATTTGTTGATTGCATTTGCACTAGAGCCTTGCCTTCAGGTGCTTAATTAGGTGCAGCCTAGAAATGGATAATAAAAAAAGAATAATCTGGATAAGTTACGGACGAGGGGTAGAAGTTTAAGATGTGTGTATTGATGTGAGAATTAAATATTTCAGGATTTTGGATCGTTGTGCTATTTATAATGATAAAGATGTTAGTTGTAAAACTGTGACTAAAGTCTTGTTTGAATGAGAATTTTTATCAAATTTTTCTCATAGTGGATTACTGTACAGCATGAATCTATAGACTTACCAGTACTGATATTGAAAATGGTGCTACGATAGATGTGCCCATCTTGACCTGCCTGTCTACCTAGTTGTCAATTAAAAGTCATATTATCCAACAATTGTCTTAGTATTCTCCCTATGGAACTTGTCATATTTCATGCACGTTGCAACTTTTCTAGTACAGAATAAGTTGCTTCTTTCTTGTACTGAGGTGAAGACGGCGAAGCATACCATGTTAATCAGTTTGTGCCTCCTAAGAGCAACAAATTTTGATTGCACCATCTTTAGTTCTTTACATTCTTGAACGACCCCATTCTTCTAGTATTTTACTATTACATATTCTATCCTGGCTATCAGAATGAGATTCATGTTTGTTCTGGTCTTTTATCCATTCTCCATTGGTTATTCCTTACATGGACTGAGATCTTTGTATGACTTCTTGATATGTTTTGTTATGCTGCTATGGCTTCTCAGTACCGTGAACAGTAAATATGGGGTTAGATGTGTTCTTTTGTGGATTAGGGTTTGATGGATTGTTTGGAATAGGGGTAGGGTTTTTGTAGACTACTTTTAAATGATAGAAAGAACAAGATATTAGATTTGATTATGGGGTTAAGATTGCAGAAAATTTAGAAGATAGTAGAAGAAACCGCGAAGAAATGAACTAGGAATCACTCTTAGGGTTTCTTAGGCATCAAACCTAGGGTTTTGGATTGTGTCACACAATCCCAAAGCATACAATTACTGAAATTTTCTGAAAATTTCTCTCCCCATAAAATTAAAGCATTAGATCTCTATATATAGAAATCTCCAAGTATTCCTTGTCCTACAAAAACTTATGACTCCAAAGACTTCAAGGACTCTAAATCACTTTTAGATTAGGAGACTAATATAGACTAGAACTAGGATTCTAAAGTCTAGAATTTTAAAACCCAATATTATAGGTTAACCTAAAGTATGACCCACGGGTCCTACGATGACCCGTTCCAGCAATCAAGAAATTATGAAATGTCCTCGACTCTAAAAAACATTAAAAAGATGCATAAAACAAAAATTCCAGCAAGCTAACTGAAAGTAATCGTCACACACTCCCATAATCCATTTTTTCTTCAGAGAAGAATAGGACCCAAATATTGTGTAAGGTTTTATGTGAGTCTTTGTCTAGGTAGTAAATGAAATTCCATAATTCTTTGTGTCTTTGAATTTATGTTTCTTTGGGCATTTTATGGACTGCATTAGAGTCTCTGCTAGGTTGTGATGTGAAAAGGGAACAGAAATGCTAATGGCGCGCGACTGTTGTCCCTTCTTGTAGCTGTTTGGCCAGTATTCCATAGTTGATTAACATAATCTTATGGGGAAATAATAATAACGGTGTTAATAAATATATTGATTTAAGTTTGATTCTGGTAATGGAGAAGAGTGGCAAAGGTAAAACACACAATTACTGATGCCGAAGCTCTGACTTTGCATAGGCTTGACCTCGTTAATTCTTTTCCCTTCTTTCCATCTGAAAATAGATATTTGAAATTGTTTTATAATAGAGTTTCATTATGCTGGCATAGTTCTCGTGAAGTTTCCCTAATGGATACTTTAATTACTTAGATTTCCATTTTATCTTTCTGGACGGAAGTTTTAATAAATGTTCTTGTCATCTGCAAGCTGCAAATATATAGCACAGTGGTTAGGACTTTCACTATTAGCTAGAAATCATTCTATTAAAGCCAAAAATTAGTTTTGTGCACATAAGAATCTCCAGTGTCCATGTGGATACTACATATTGTCTAAAACTAAAAGGACTTTTCAGTGCACGGGCCTCTTTGCCTCAGATGTATGCAGCCTTATTCCGTATGTGGTGAGATTGTTTTTGTGAGTCAAACCTGTGATACCTTAGTCACAATAGAAGAGCAAGTTACGTATGCATCAAGGCCCCCCTCTCTTACTACTACTTGCTCTGACTTGTATAATTTTCCAGCTTACATTTCCCACTCATAAGTAATTCAGCTTTAATATAATTCTCAGCTATTTCTGTTGCTAGTGACTGTAATTTTACTACAGGGTCAGGTCAATTTACGAAATCCGGATCACAAGTTTTGGCTTATGGAAACTGATGACTATGGCTCTAATAATGGGCTTCCACCAATTGTCCAAAAGAGAATCTTTTTTGGGCGAGAAATTGGGGCTGCTGATAGGAAGCTCTTGCCGACCTATCAGTTAAAAAGTCGCACTTATCTTGGTCCTACAGCTATGGATGCTGAAATGGCTTTTCTGATGGCCAATCAAGCACAGGCCTCCCCAGGGAAACTTGTCTATGACCCCTTCGTTGGCACTGGCAGCATTCTGATCTCTGCAGCTCATTTTGGAGCAATAACAATGGTTTGTGATATTTTATCTTTTGTTGAAGCTCAGAAGTGATACCCAATTGATACTTTTCTTTGGAAATATTTGTACGATTCATGTGATTCCTTGAATGCAGATAGCCTTCTTTCTCTATCTACTAATGCAAATTGTTCAGGGTGCAGATATTGACATTCGGGTAGTACGTGATGGTCGTGGCCCTAATTGTAATGTTTGGAGCAATTTCAAGCAGGTCAATTTGTCATTTGTCCTTTTTTTTTGTTCTATTCTGTAAATATTGTTTCCTTGAAATTGCATCTGAGATTTCATTTATTATTGCTTGTACATGTTGAATCTCTCACTGAATAATGAATGGGAATTTCATGTTTGTCTGTTTGCTTTGCTCCATGAAACAATTCTTATCTGTAAATGCTGTTTGCAGTATGGACTACCCATGCCAATTTCATTTTATTAATACTTGTAAATGTTGATTCTCTCACTGAATAATGAATGGGAATGTCATGTTTGTCCGTTCGCTTTGGTCCATGAAACAATTCTTATCTGTAAATGCTGTTTGCAGTATGGACTACCCATGCCGATTTCTCTGTTAAGGGCAGACAATAATCTTCCTCCTTGGCGTTCTGGGTTAAAAGAGGTAATTTCTTGTTTGCCATGTTGGTACTTGTCCCAGATGTGCTGTTTTTTCTTTCTTCTTTCTTTCTTTCACTTTTCTTTAGTATATTGTGTCCGAGCAGAAATTCTTGTACCTTTAATTTCCTTGCTTGTTATTGGTCTTATGTTTAATTTAGTAACTCTATAAACATTTTGTTCGGTGTGTTATTTTTGTTTCTGACTGCAGTATCACCAAACCATACAAAACCCTGCCTCAATTTTTCAGGTTGTCTATATGCATCCTTTCCATCAATCCGCTTTGTCAACAAGGGCCACATGTTTGGTTAAATCACAAAGCTATGTTTCTTATTCACCATCTCATTCCATCTCATTACTGATGATCATGTCACTCTTTGTCTCTTCTCGGTGGTCCATCCATCTATTGTTTTTGTCCAAACCATCCTGACAAGTTATCTTTCTGTGTACTTTCAATTGGTTCTGCATCTACCATCTTTTCAATGTTTTAATTGCTAATTCAATCTTATCCTTTCTTATTACATATCCATCTTAATCACCTAAACTGATTGTACAAACATGTAGTTTCTTAGTTGTCCGACATTCTATCCATAAAACATATTTTGGCTTAATAGCTAATTTGCTTTCAGTTTCACTATTGGTTGTTGACCTATATAGTTGCAACTCATGTGATGCCCAATCTTCTCCTCATTATTTTTCAAAGTACTTGAGCACGGATAGCGTAGCTGTTTACTCTTTTGGTATATGTTGGTTTTCTATCTTCATTGACAATCCATTTTCATTTCTGATTGTGTAGTAAATAAAAGCAGTGCCTCCCCCTTCTTCTTCCTTCTTTTTGATGCTATTCTAAGTGAACAAAATTAACCAAATACTTGAGGTTATATAATAATTTTGACGGTCCTATCCATGTGCACGGACATGAATTAAATATGCATTTGCATATAACATTGTGATTCCTTCCTTTTGTTTTCTATTATTTATACTATGAATAGTTTTCAGCTAAAGCCAAAATTACCCGCACACCTTATCATGTTAATTAAAAATTTTGGTTCTAATTGCGCGCCTATTATTTCCACCCCGGTTTGTTGACTAGTTTTTTTTTTCCTGAATGGGTGCTATTTAATTTTTGTAGCTTTGTACAAAGATTTTGTCTTCATTTGATTAGGGTTTTAGATTATTTGCCTTTCATGTTCAAATAGTATGTTCGTTTTTTCTTCCTTTTACCTTTTTAATCTTTTTGCATTGTTGATACAATTTTTTTAAAATTGTTATTTTGCACATGGCTCTGATTTGTTTTCAATATTTTAACTGTTTCTTCCAGATGTTTGATGCCATAATCTGTGATCCTCCTTATGGGGTTCGTGCTGGGGGACGTAAATCTGGTGGGCGGAAACTGTTGAAAGGGGTTGTGGGTCCTTATACAATTCCCGATGACAAGAGGACAGACCACATACCATCAACTGCTGCTTACAGTTTAGCGGAGTGTGTGCATGATTTGCTTGACCTTGCTGCTAGGATGCTCGTAATGGGTGGCCGACTGGTGTACTTTTATCCCGTACTAAGAGAAGAAGATTCAATTGATACCAATTTCCCCGAGCACCCGTGTTTCAAACTGGTTGCTGCCTGTGAACAGATCCTAAGTTTTCGGTACAGCAGGGTATTACTGACAATGGTGAAGATTGCACCATACACCGAGGAAATTGCCGAGGCTGCTATGATACAACATTTGGAATTCAAGGAGAACCATTTGAAGTGGTTAGAAGATGGAAATCTTCATTCTGGAGTTTTCAGTCCTGCTGATCTGCTCAATGGGACTGGTGATACTAAACCAAGTAAAGAATCAAAACCGAAATATAGAGGAAAATATGTTTAGGTTTAACAATCAACAGCATTTTTTCTTCAGCTGTTTAGTTTGAGCTACTTATTATACGCCTCTCCGGGTATCTTCATTAGGGCACTTCCTTTCTGTTGTTGCTAGCACTTTCCCGGGCCATACCGGAATTTTGGATTCTAAAGGACTTATGTATCTCAGATGTGATAAAGAGTAGTAAGTTTGTGTTTTGCTTCTTGTCTGTGAATTGTGACATCTCTATTCTTGTCCGAGTACTTTGGGAAAGTCTACAATTTTTTATGGTAAAATTATACATTTGAAATGAGACACTGCAATTGCTTGCATGATCGATTATGAATTTTCGGTATTAATTTTAACACTTCATAATCGATTATGTCCTTTAAAAGTTATAATTTATGTCTTAAAAAAATTATAATTTTCTATATAGCGGTAATGTAGCCTTTCCTTACTGCATAACTCTCTGTCCTAATGTTGTGCCCATGTAATTGAAAAAGCTATTAAATTCAAGTTTTTTATAATAGCTTGATAGTCTATTAGGTTTTTTTTAATAATGGTAAATACTTTGAAGGCTTAAAAAAACATTGTCTCGAGTTCACTACTTATTTTATCACTTTCAATATTTTTGTATGAATTAAAATTTCTTTTTCGAGTACTTAGAAAAATAAAAATATTTTAAAAATATTTTAAAAACAATTAAGATAATAATTTTTTTAAAAAAATATTAATAAAAATATATTAAAAATTTTAAAATATTAAATTTTCTCATAATTTAATTCTAAAAAATTATTAATATTTAAATTCAGAATTTAAAGTTCAATCTATTATCATTTCAACTAAACTTCATTTTCACCAATTTTGTGAAGCATCCAATAGAATCCAATATCGTCAGGTTTATTTCTCCATTGCAAGAACATTATGATTTTGACGCTTTTGTCAAGGAAAAAAACAATTCAAACCTCCTTACCATTCATATTCAGTTATTTTCCTTTCACCTTTATTTTCCTAATCTACTGTAGTAGAATTTTTTGATTATAAAGGAAGTGTTACCAAAATCGGATCGAATTGGTGGATCAGACCGATTTAACTAGTTAAACTGCGGAAGGAAAAAAATAAGAAGAAAACTGCTAAATCGGATGATTTTTTAAAACCAGCGGTTCAATTTCACTGCATATATATATAAAAAAATTCTCCTTTTTGTTGGGCCATTTTTCCCTAAATCGCAGAATTGAGGATCTGAGGCTGAGGGAGATCACTTCGCTTCGTAGTCGATATCCCATTTCAATTTTCAGTGGCCACTCTGGCGACGAAAAACAGTTAAGGGAGGCAACTAATCAGCGCTACTCCTCTTCCTCTACTCGAAGCTGCATCTCTCTTACTCAGTCAGTCAGTCTGACTCGGGTGACGAGCAATGGAGCCTCTCTTTCTCACACACGCACACACAGTAGCTCTCTAAGCCTCTTAAGTCCTCTGAAACTTCTGAACAAAACATGGGTCCCATTTTATTGTTGTGTTTCTTAATTAGTCAGTGATTTCTTGGGATATATTCAAACCCATTTCATTGATCGAAGACAGTTTCTTTTATGTAAGGTTGTTTACCGTACAATCTAAGTTTTTTGAATTCAATGCATGTTTCCTGAGAGGAGTAGTGCTAGATGGACTGAAAAAGTAGACTTAAAAATTAGATTTGATAATTACAATCATTGATTTCACTGTGGGTCCTAATATTTATTTGAGACTTACTACTTATTCAATGGTTGAGATTTAGTCTAATTTGATCTAGTTCTGAGAGTGGATGGGTGTCTATGTTCCATGTTTGGTTACGTAGTATATAGATATTGGAATTTGAAAAATGTGTGTAAATGGTCAATTATTTAGGGGTTTTGGACATGTTTTATATTTTTGTTATTATGTTTTTATTTAATTATTATACGATGGATTCGACCGATTGGTCCAACTAACGGTTGTACTGAATACTTATAGTTTACTAACGGTTGTTTTATAATATTTATAATTTTTTTTTAATTAGTGAATCATTTACTCAGTTCTCTTTTCGGTTCTATTACAGGTCCAATCGATCCGGTTTGGAGAACATTGTTAAAACCCTTTTTGTATATATCCATATGTGTATATGTATGTATTGTTTCAATTTCGAAAATCAGCAACCAATCCGGAAAGAAACTACCCATATCAGCTCTGATGTTGTTACGCTTAAGCTCTCTCTCTCCTTCCCTCTCTAAAACCTCACCCGTCTTCTCTCTCTTCACCAAAAACCAATTTCGGTTTCTCTTCCGCAAGACCCATTTTCACTCTCATCTCTTCTACTATTGCAATTCTTTCGAACCCATTAATGCCAGAACTCGATTCATTAATATTATAGCCACGACCCAAAAATCCCATCTCTGTACTGCATCGGCTCTTCTCGATAAACCCTCCTCTTCTCCGACTCCGATGTCCAACAAATCCAAGAAAAAAGCGCGTCGTGAGGCCCCAGAAAGCGTGCTTAAACACAAGCTTGACATGTGCTCAAAAAAGGGCGATCTAGCCGAAGCTCTTAGACTATACGACGATGCTAGAAGGAATAATATCCCTCTTAGCGTCAACCATTATAATGTTTTGCTCTATTTATGCTCTTCTGAAAGTAATGGCGAGGATAAAGAAGCCAAGGATTTATTCAATTTAGGTTTGGAGAGGGGTTTTGAAATACTTAAGCAAATGGTTATCGAAAAAGTTACGCCAAATGAGGCCACATTTACTAGCGCAGCTAGATTGGCTGCTGCTAAAGAAGACCCAGAAATGGCTTTTGATTTGGTGAAGCAAATGAAGAGTAGTGGAATTCCACCGAAATTGAGGTCCTACGGACCGGCATTGTTTGGGTTTTGCAAGAAGGGATTGGCTGATAAGGCATATGAAGTCGATGCACACATGGCTGAATCTGGGGTTCCGGCTGACGAGCCGGGGCTTTCGGCTCTTTTGAAGCTTAGTTCCGAGGCCAAAAGAGTGGATAGAGTTTATGAAATGATGCATAGGTTGAGAGCTACTGTGAGGCAGGTTTCAGAAGAGACTGCTTGTGTTGTGGAGGATTGGTTTAGGTCGGAGAGCGCCACTGATGTTGGGATGGAGAATTGGGATGTGGAGAAGGTGAGAGGAGGGGTTGTGAAGGGAGGAGGTGGGTGGCATGGGCAAGGGTGGTTGGGGATTGGAAAATGGAGAGTGGTGAGGACTGAGATGGATGAGACTGGCATGTGCCATTCGTGCCATGAGAAGCTTGTTTGTATTGACATTGATCCTAGGGAGACGGAGAACTTTGCTAGTTCTTTGACCACATTGGCTTGCCAAAGAGAGGCTAAGGCCGATTTTATGCACTTTCAGGTATGATGCTAACTTCTGGTTATGTACTTAATCTCTGATTAGCTGCTATCTGATTAGCTGCTATGGACCTTACTTGTGGATACAAACAAATAGAAAGTATGCCGTGGGATTCACTTGATTTATGATGATGTAGCCAGGTTATTTATGACTTTCAGTTAATGTTTGGCACAATTTATAATGTGTACAGTAGTATGGCAAAAGAAATCTCATCTTGGTTTCTCATGTAAAATCTCCAAATTCTTGAAATTTGTCTTTGTAGATTGACTGTTTACTAAGGATGAATTCACCAAAAACTATAAAGTTATGATTTTCCGATAGTGGAGGGATTATTGGAAGCCTGCATGATTACATCTGTTTGGTACTTGTTATCTTGTACCATTGGGAATTAGACATTTGTCTAGCAAAATTCATTTTCATGTTGATGTGTTGTTGTCGCAATGCACCTCATTTGAACTATATGATGGTGCTGCAATTTCAGCAAAAAAAAATTGAGAAAATGCAGTGTGACATTAATATGTATACTAAAAAAAGAAATGGTGAGCTGTTCGATGCAAAAATGTTCTTTTAATCATTATCCTTCTAGATTAGATCCCAAACGGATGAAAAAGGGTAACAGAAAAAAAAAAAAAGAAGAAGAAGAAGAAGGAGGAAGGCATAGGCTACAGTTTGTAAAATTGAGCTAACAATGTTGCACAGATATAAACATAAAACGGGATGATGATACATTGGGCACTATGACATGACAAGCTTTGGGAGAACAAGACAATGGATTAATGTGTAAAAGTTCAAAACTCGTAATGGACTCAACTCATGGTGTAATCTAGTAAAACAGTAAACATAAAACATATGTAGACAAATGCAAAAGCTAAGTTCAGACGAGTTGCCCTTCTATGAGTCTAAGCAATGAGGGGTCTGATGATAGCATGCTTATATGTTATTTTGTTTACAAGGGTGATGGAAACTTAGGTGGTTGCCTCCTTTGAATTTACATTTGGATGTCTAGGTAACCACAGAGGCAGTCCTTATACTCCTACTCCTCATTATCATGCTTCATCTTTATCATCTTAGTAAAGAAAATGATTGTAGTCTATGAGGTTACCATCATGAACACTTATTAATATGTGAAATTTATTTTCTTTGTTGAATGGAAGTCACAAATACTGGTAATGATGTGTTGGTTGTCATAGTCCATTTCCAATATATGCTATCTTTGTATGCTTCAGGCAATTAGTGCATAAAAAGATTCTGAGACTAATATACAAGGTGCACTTATCAGGAGTGGCTTCAGCGGCATGGTCCATTTGATGCAGTAGTAGATGGTGCCAATGTGGGCCTTATTAATCAATACAATTTCAGCTTTTTCCAGGTAAATTGTCCTTAGCTTGTCTACTTATTTTTGTGTTTGAATATTGGACAATAAATTGTTGAATATTGAGGATAGGCTTAATGGAGAATCTCTCTCTCCAGGATTTAATAAGCTATTTGAGACCTACTTCAATATTAATTATGTAACATACAGTTCCAAAAGATTCCTTTTTGTTGTAGCTCAATTCTGTTGTGAACCAGTTACGTCAAATGAGTCCATCAAAGAGGTTACCACTTGTTGTTTTGCATAAAAGCCGTGTAACTGGTGGTCCTGCTCAGAAGCTTAATAACAAGAAGTTATTAGAGAGTTGGAAAAAGGCTGGTGCTCTTTATGCTACTCCTCCGGGTTCTAATGATGATTGGTAAGTTCTCTTTTCTCCTGAGAGATGAGTTTACCCTATTTGTCCCATTGCAATTCCTTTAGATAATTTATGAAGTTTGATTCTAGTTAGGCTTTTGTTTAGCAGATCATTGTTACAGCTGAAAGGAATGTCCGAAGTTCTTCTAGATATTTCTTTTTGTTTCATTTTGAAAGATGCATTCCTTGTATTGTTTGATATCCAATTGCAACTACTGCATACCATTGCCCAATTAGATGGATATATTTTTGTGTGTAATTTTTGGTGGATATTGGTCTGATTTTGACACACAATGTAAAAAGTGATTGTCTGACCTAGTGTTCCAAGATAGCAGTACCTGTCTTCCATGCTTGAGTTGAGCTTTGGGTAATGACATCAATAGCTATGGATCCTTACCTAGGAAATTGATATGCAGTGTTGACCATCATTGTAACTTGGAGGAGTTTCCAAATTATTGTTTACTTTCCTGTCAATTTCATTACTTGCATATGACCTTGTTTTGAGGTTGAAAACATGTCCACTGTTGGCTGATTTGTAGATTTTATTAGGCAGTTTGGGGATGCAGAAAATTTACCATGTCATTATGGCCAAGTAGACTGACAATTGTGTTGGAAATGTAACAAACTGCCAACAATGATCACGTCCACTGACTTGCAGCATAGGCTATACCACATTGGCTCCAGTGATGAGGGGCGGAGACAGGAATTCAGTTATGGGTGGGCAACTTAACTAGAAGCTTGAATTAATTTTTCTTAATTGATAAAGTTAATATAACATATATAGGTATATTAATTTACATACGTCTTTATCGTAGGACAATAAGGACCAATTGTCAGCCAATTGCAAATAATTTCATGTTCAAATTAAGAATAAACCAAAAAAATCCATAATTGCAGAAAGCTTTAACACAATAAGAAATATTAAACATGCCATTACAGATCAATCACGGTTCATATTAGAAGAATAAGGGGAAAATCATAGGTATAAAGGCTAATAGTTATTGAATGAAGAAATCTTTGGTTGCTTTTTCTTCTCTCTCTCTGTTTCTTTCTAACTCTCTCAAACACCCTTTGGATTTCATCGAGTGAAAATAATCTCATCATATTAAATTTTTTGTCGTTTATTTTATGACCCTATGTTTTATGTACTTACAAAATGATAATATTTTGTTACACAATAATCGTAATGTATATTCAATAACAATATGTCCTGTAATTTTTTTTTTTTTAATTTCACAAAATAACCTCCAAACTGTCCAATAAAACTGAACTTGTCAGTAATGTGTACATAGCCATTTAAGCATGAGGCTATATGAAAGATGTAGGATATATTATATATGTGCAATTTTTAAAAAATTGGAGGGTGGGCCAGAGGCCTCCTTGCCTCAATGTGTCTCCACTTTTACTAGTGGGGTCTATTTCCCTATTAAAACACGGAATACAACACAAAGGCCCATACTTAAGGTTGGAGTTTTGTAATTTGACAACATAATGGATGTTCTAATCATGTCTGATTATGTGCATTGACTTTTCAACTGCCTCTTGTATCTGTTATGTATTCTTCATCCATCAAATAAGTTTTTCCAATCATGTCTGAAATAATCGTTTTGTAATAATTCTCCTCGATTCAATATCACAATCTTAACTTTGTGACTAAAACCTCACTCAGACAATCATAAAAATTCTAAATCTCGTAGAAAAGACATAATCAATTAAAAATTTAATCTTACTTCCAATTTGAGAATTTCCATTGATTTTGTTTACTTATAGGAATTAAATGTTGTGACTTGTGATGGTATATCATCAGAAATTGATATCTGTAGATTTTTAATTATATATTACTATTCATACTGAAATTGAAATGAGCCCACTCTGAGGAAAAATCAGACCAATGCCTCTGACTTGCAGGATGTCCTGATGTGGGGAAATCAAAGTTATATATCTCTCCACCAACTTTCTAAGGTTTTGGACTCAATTAAATGCAATAGTGATTGTTATAACAGTAGATACAGTGAAATTTTTGTTTTCCTTCCTAAAATTGCCTTTGCTGTTGCCTTTGGGACTCATTAGACCTTTCTGAAAATCCTAAAGTGCCACACCGGTTCTAATACTCAGAAGGTTTGGCACGCATGTCCCTGATTAGTGTTAACTAGCAATTACACACTCAAACGGACTGAGCTTGGAGTAATTGAATTAATTTTTAGCCACTAAATATCGAGTGTACTCGGTTTAACTTCATCAAATTGGGCGCTGGCATGGTTGGGATTTCAGGCCAAAGAAAAAACAGGTCTTATCTGGGTTTGGCACTTGAAATCTTTTGAGGAAAAAGTAGCATCTTTGGTATCAGTTGAAAAGCAGGAGGCTCATGCTTGTATCTCTAGATTCTAGTTGACATTCTAAACTTGAAAACAGAACAGATAAACTGTCCTTTTTGACTCAAAAGTACCCAGCAGAGGTATAGGGTGGTACAATATATAATTGCCAAGGACTGTAAGATGGTGCTCTATTTTGTGGTTAAGAGAGCTTTGTTGTTTCACATCAGGAGCTGGTCTTAAAATGGATCTGGTCCAGAATTCTTAACGAAACTAAGCTGGAGCTAATCAAGAACAGTAGGAAGAGGAGTTAGCTAGAAATCTACGTACTTAAACTTTCCTCCTATTTGTAGTTACCTGATTATGACTTTCAAGGTTCACTTATGGCCTACCATGTTCCCATGTTATTCCCAGGTACTGGTTATATGCAGCTGTTAGTTGCAAGTGCTTGCTGGTGACAAATGATGAGATGCGGGATCATTTGTTCGAACTTCTGGGGACTAATTTTTTCCCAAGATGGAAAGAAAAGCATCAGGTATTGTGTTGCTATTAAAGATTGTTGCTGTACCAGAATTCTTTGGTGTTAAGTTCCACTTTTTCATTGTAGCCAAATCACTTGATAAAAATGATATCTCTTACCACCTTTTATCACCATTTCCCTAAAAAAGTGGATAGATTTGATTTGTTCATTGTTTTGGAAGGATAATGAACAAAGGTTGAACTAACATTTAAGATCGTGCCAGTAAGTGTTGATCCAGAATGGTGAAAAAAAATGGTGATAGATAAGATTGCTCATCACGTAGATGATTGCCACTTGCCCACAGTGGAGGCAAACTTAATTCTGTAACATCTTTTGGGGTTTGTTAAGCATCTTGTTGAATTTAAATAGGCACATTCTTTTTTCACATAGCATTCCAATGTAAAGGTCTACCACTTTGAATGGAACCATCAAAGAGACTGGGGACTCACCCTCCTTTTCATATGTAACCATTATAGTTTTTCCTAAAATGATAAACTCTCTATTTTCAATATTCCATGGCAAAACCTCTGTGAACTTCATATTATAATGCTTTCATCATCTCTAGTTATGCATCCTAACTGAGTTGGCTTTTATTGTCAAAAGAGGACATAAAAAGATTGTAATTTTTGATGTTCAAGTCTCTTAACCAGAGGCAGGGTCCATAAATTGGCCACCGCCGTTGCATGTGATGTAAATTGATCATCTCCAAAAGAAGTCACCATCAGGGTAGGTTTGTTGTAGTAGAGGCAGCATGTAGGCTTGTGGGTATAATCTGCATAAATGCTTATGTTCTTTAGTGTCGATGAGGAAAGAGCAAGATATTGATATAATGAAATGTCAAGAGAGTGGTATTTGATGGGGTAGGGCTGAACCCTCTATATGATGAGTTGCTTAGACCTAAAGACTGAGATATTCCCGCTTTGGAACAACAGAGCCTCTGAAAATACGAGCACGATTTGTTTAGATATGAAGGAAACAATAAAGATCTTTCAAGGGGATGACAATTTGATAGGAGGTTTCCTGATCATAAATCTTCTGGAAACCAGACTTCTAATCCATCTCCATCCATGAAACTTATTGGCATGAGAAAGCCATGGTTTTTTAATTTATTACAACCATATTTTCGACTACTATATGCTTCATGGGGCTTCATTTTGTTAGAGTGTTACTTTCCTTATTTTCCTATATGTTACTTTCCTATTATTCTACTTTCTTGTAATTGTCTTCAATATCAATCGAATATAAATAGGTAGGGTGGTGGCAACACACAACGTTGTTTCACACTTTCTTTCTTCTTCTTCTCTTTCTTTTCTTTAACCCTAACGTACAATTATTCAAGTTTCAACTCATTCTTTAAGAAATCTTGTCAACTACTTACTCATGACAGGCTGCTTTTATTTTTTTGTGAAAACACTTGGGAATGTCATTCAACTTATGCTGATGTTTGCCACAGAAACCGTGGGCAAGCTCTAGGGCTAATGGGCTGAGGGAAACTGGGCCATGGGTATTGCTGTTCATAGACTGCTATCAGGAAATGGTGATTGGTAATTGATGTCTTACAGTTGTTGTTTGGCAGGTTCGGTTGACTGTCTCAACGGGGGTCCTGAATTTCCACATGCCTCTGCCATATTCTATTGTTATTCAAGTGAGTTGAGCTGCCAATATCTATACATCTTGCCAATCATCTGAAGTCACACGAATGCTTTATGAGTGTGGAATTGTGAATGCAGGAGTCAGAAAAGGGTTGTTGGCATGTACCAACCGTCACGGGAGATGACCCTGAGACCCCGAGGCAATGGGTGTGCGTCACCAGGACCAGGGACTCAGCATCAGACGCTCTTTAAGCCAGACAATCATCCATTTTTGAAAGACACACAAAGACAGAAAATTGTAGTCTAGCATTGAGGAATCTGTGTTACCAAGATATTCTTGGTAATTTACCCAAAAATAAAAAGACATCCTTGGTAAAAAGGTAGTAGAAAAATGAGTTGGTTTGTTCCCAAGGGGCTGCTATTTTTCCAATCCCCATCCCCAACCCCAACACACCCCCCCCCCTTCCCCCTGTGCGCGGGCTGGCCGCCCCGTGCGTGCACTGGCAGATCCATCCTGGTGAAAGTGTTGAAAGAGCTACTTGATGTTTCATGGGGATTAGAAAAATAGTGAAAGTGTATGCTTCAAATTAGTTTACTGGTAAAAAGTTGACAGTTGAATCAGAGGTATTGGGTGTAGTTTTAAATGTTAGCTTTTGATGGACTGACATGGCTGGAGTTATAGAGAATTGATTTGAATTGTTACTTAAGATAAAAAACTTCTACTTGTTTTTGATTTTTTCTTCTTTTTTTATTAGGGACAAACTACAATATTTCTATTTAAAAGTAGAAATGTCATAGCTGTCATATATCCCACACACACCTAAAGGCTATCGATTTCATAATTGGTTGGTTGTGGGCTTTTCACATGGTACTCTTTTTCCTTTTGTTTAAAGGGTTGTCCCTCCTCTCTTGAATAATTTCGACATGGATGATTTACATGGATAGCTTGTATTCGATCAGGAAAGAAGAGATTAGTTGAGGTGTTCATAAACTGATCGGGCAATTATGATCATAATAATAATAAAAAAAAAGAATATCTTGGTGGAAGATATTATATTTCTTAGAACTTAGCTTTATTACTTGCTACAATAATTTTTTTTTCTATCCAATTTATTAATTGATAACAATTTGTCTCAGCATAAAAATACCATTTTTTTTTCCTCGAAAGAGGGATGGGTTGATTGACAATGAGGGAGATTAGGTTGAAGAATCGATGTGTATTTGAATCGTGACATTATAAAAATAAGGGTTTGAAAATCGCTTGTATATAATTGAGATACTATAGTAATAGGGTGAATTATAATTTACACCCTCTAAGTTTATGCTTAATTTTTATTTGGGCTCTCAATAATTAATTGCAACATTCAAGACCTTAAACTTTACCATTAGTTTCAATTAACTATCTATGTCAAAATTCAACAGTAATTATGATAAGAAATATCACTTGAGCATTACGTCACATACATAATTTTGATCAAATTAATATGAAAATGGGTCAAATCTTAAAAGGTCAGGCAATACATCCAATTGAAGTACTCAAATCTATATCAAATGAGTCAACAAATGCAATTTTAATACCTAACTCTAAACCTAGGGCCAATTTACTTAGAATTAATCCTATAATTGGACGACGTTATGGTCCCGTAACTTTTTTCCTTTAAAATTATTAACGAATTTGAATCGAAGAACTTAATTGAAATAGAAGTTAAAGTTTAAGGACTTGATTATTTTAATTGATAGTTCATAGATTAAATAGAATTCAAGTGTAAACTTTGAAGGTATAATATATAGTTTACCTATAGTAATAATAAACAAAAACAAAAATAAAAAATTAGGGGTCGTTTGACAATTGCTTTGTTTGGTGTTTTTTGTTTTCAGTTTTTCCCAAAAAAAACAAACAAAAATATGTTTAGTATTTATTTTTATTTTTTTTCCATCTAAGTTGTTTTGAAAATAAGCTCAAAATTTGAAACACAAAAAATTATGTTTCCAAACAACAACATGCGCGTTGGTTTGAGAGATTTAATGAGATACACATTTCGAGCCTTGCTAGCAACAAAAAAAATATTTTTTTCTTTGAAGTATAAAAGTCCAATTCATCGCCTTTAGTCCGTCACCTGTTCCTCTCTCTCACTTCTTTGTCTGTGTAATGATCGCTTATGTCGGAGTAACGAAGACCAAAGTGTTATCATAGAAAACACAAATTTTTTTTTTCTATTTTCTATTGTTTTGAAAATAGAAAAATAAAAATATTACAAAATTGTTTCTGTTTTTTCATCTATAATTTTTATCTAATGGGTTTTAAAAATAATAATCACATTGTATTTTTATTTTTTCGTTTGGTAAAAATATCGTACTCACTAGACAAAGTTTCTTATTATCAACTGTCGGAGATAAATAAGTGTTAGACAGTTTTAGAAGCATTTGGGAGGTTGGTAGTTTGGCCTGAATTATTTGCCTTCGGCCGAATTGAATAAAGAATTAGTCATAGTTTGTATAAGTTGGTCAGATACCCCGCCGGAAATTCTCCTTGAGACGACATCGTTTCATTAGTGACTTTTTCCTTTTTTTGAGCTCTGTTTATGTGTATCGTCGTCCTCTTCCTTCTTCCCTTTCTCACTCTCTGTCTTCTCTTTACTTCAACGTCCGCACCTCTCTCTCTCTCTCTCTCTCACACACACACACACACAGTCTCTGTCACACCCAAGAGCTTCAACTTCGACAGAAAGAAACAACTATTCAAATGCTGAAGACTATTTTGTGGTAAATCTTATTACATTTGAAAAATGCTATATTACTTTACTTCCATCATTCATTCTGCTCATCCTCGCATGTTAAATTTTTAGCGTA